TTTTCCTAAGAGGATGTTGGTTGTATTTTCGGGGTGTGACCGTCATTACCTCTGGGTTGCAGTTATTTCTCCCTCCGCATTCCCTTCATCAAAGACGCTAAGCCATTTGTCATGGAGACTGTCTGTAAAAATACCGCCTTCTATATTCTGAAGATAATCCTTCCGTAGATTAAATAAAAAAGATATATATTATTATGACAAATACATATTGGGGAAATAACAGAAAACATTAAGTTGAAAAATTCCATTCAGGCCTCACTTCCTTCACAATGGCCAGTGTGTGACCCAGGCAGAGCTGGCTGTAACTGCAGACTCGCACACCCAGGAGGAGGAGCTTGGACTCTCTCCATCTAAAATCAGAAGCATCACAGCAGAGTCTGGACGACAGTGAGTGTGATGAGAAAGCCCTCCCCCACCAGCTGGGCCTTGCTCTCTGGGTCCGTGTCACCACTAGTCCCAGCTGACAGGGTCTGGTGACCACCCACACCGAGTCCTGTGAGTGTCTTAGAAGCAACGTGCACACCCATGTTCCTTGTTTACTTCAGACAGTGCTTGCTCTTAATTCAAGGAAGAGCGGTTCTGAAATAGAACACACACCCCTCACACTCTTGCACACATATTACAAGAACGCTGGGCTTTCTGACGCAGGGTGTGCCTGCTTCATGGGGAAAAACTACTCATAATAGCTCAGTCTTCATTTTGAAACTGTATAAAAGTTCAGTTTGCAGCCTTTTAAGCAGCAGGTGCTAAAAACATACCAAAATCCCCAGTGGGTACCTACATGTTCCTCCTTATAGCTCCTTGAATGGAACATATCCTCTCAAGTGTGTCACTTAAAATTTAGATATATTGGAACTTTATACCTCTGAGTGTGAGGGATAGAGGTACACAAATGTAAACTACCTAAGTGGGGGCCTAGAAAATGTGCCACTTTAAAGGGCTGATGAATAAATTTTTTTTTAAATTAAAGTATAGTAGGAGACAAAAAGTCAATTTCTGTCTAATTTCTGGTACACAAGCCTTAAATCACATAAATGGGCCTATTAAAATTAATGAAGTAGTAATTTTTTCCCCCTGGTGAGCAAAGTGGTAATTGCATTTATTTCTGTATTTATTAATGGAGATTCTGGGACGTGAACCCAGGACCTCGTGCATGGTAAGCATTCACTCTACCACTGAGCTGTACACTCGTGACCCCTGAGCTGTCATGTTTTGTGCCAGACTGGAAAAAGTTTTGCATAACCTTGCTAGTTTGAAAGCCACACCGTGCTTCCACTGGTCTCATCTCGGCCTCTGGGGTGGGCTGCCCCACAGTGCTCTCTGCTTTTATGCCTTCTGGTCACGTGTCCTTGTGTGACCCCCACACACTCCGCTGCAGGATGGATGGACATTGGGACCGGGTTCTGACGTGCAGAGTGACGTGTGAAAATGGGCGTGACTTCACTCGTTCCCAGCTCCAGGGTTCCTTCTCCCTCTGTCTCTCTGCGCCTGTCCTATCTCTCTCTCTCTCTCTCTGTTTCTCTCACTCCCTCTGCCTCTCTGTGTTTCAGTCTCTCTGTGTCTTACCCTGGATGTATGTGCGTAGACATTTACGTGCGTACCTGTGTATTTACGTGTTTATATTGTTAGGGCCCGGGGCAGGTCACTTCTGAAAATGCCTTGATGACATACTGATTCTTTTCATGTCACTGAAAAAGAAAAAAACTTTTTTGCAAGTTGTGCGAGCACTTTGGTGGGGTGAGCTCTAAGGATCGGCACTGCCGGGGAAGGGCTGCTGCGCCTGTGGCCCTTTGATGCGTCCTGCACACTGTTTCCCTGGAGAGGAGTGTCTGTTCTCTCGTCCCTCCGGGGGATCTGCTGGGGCCTCTGCCTCCTCACTTTGTCACCAGGCTAAAGTCCTGCCAGCGTCATGGTGACCAGTGTTGTCCCTCCACAGTGTGTCCGTCCGCCTGTGTCCTCCCCCGAGAGGTCGAGCACGTCTAACACACACTGGCCACCTGCTCTGCCTCTCGTTGGAACTGCCCGTGTGTGTTCTGTTTGTTTAGAGCAGTGGGTTTCGAG